TGAATCAACTTTCGCGCAGCTACTTGTCACACTATAACATGCAAACTCAAGTAGCTCTGCTGAGGTTTCCATACTGAGATACCTAACATTTCACATTGAACCAGGCTTTGATACCTTCCAACCATCAAAAGGTTTATGATTCAAACGGAAAAATGAAATGATGCAGGCGGAAAGACAAAAGCGCTGCACAGAATTTCTCAAAATTACGGGTTGTGGTTAAAAATGTCTGCAGTTGCACCTGCATAATACGGTTGCCGATAGTATTTTCATGAAAATATACCGGTTTCGGCAATAATCCTTGTGATTATGAAACAGGCGTTTTTAAAACAAGCGTTTTTTCCGGACGAGGTCAGTTTGGAACTCCAGTTAACTAGTATAAAATTGCCCCTCTCCGGGCTTTTCCCATGCAAAACTGGCATGCAGTTGATGAAAACTGACTGGCGCCTGGTGTTTAACCGGTCGTTTGTTTTTGTCCTTTCCGCACATGTTCCATCAGATAAACAAAATAAATAACAGTGGCAGAAAAGAAACGTGACATGACAACAGCCGTTTGATATCGAGTATGTGAGTTCACCTAAAACTCTAAAAGCCTGGCTTGGAGACGTTTGCCCATTGAATGTTTCTTTGGTTAGAAAGCCGCCATTGTCTAAAACAATCCCATTGTATCTTGACTGATCAATCGTGATAGGAGCACAGTCATTGTTACAACATTAAGTCCTCATGGGACTATTCGAAAATTAGTGCAGGGAATGAGAGTACACTTATCGTGACATCTTGAATTTCAAGCTGGGATTTTAAAGCAAAATGCTACCCTATAAGCTCATGACTGTCTTTATCCACGGGTTATTGTAACTGCACTAGGAAGGAGTTAGACGGAGAGTGTGGAAATTTTCAAAAGACAGTTTTCCAGTTAGCCGATTCGATTGATCAGTTATCCTGCTTTAACAGAGGACGTTTAATCGTCAACAGTGAACGTTTTCAGTAGCCTGCTCGCCTTCTGATAAGGCTTGAAGAAAGGAGTGGGAAAGATCGACGAATTTATTTCTGGGCAACATCCAATTTTTTACGAGCTGTTCCCCAGTCCAAGAAGCAAGTTATGAGATTAGTCATTTTGTGAAAAAGATAAGCTTTCTGAGAACGTCAAGTCATTTTTACACAATTTAAACTGATCAAATACGGCCTTGTTTATATACACACATATATTTGTCCTCCAAAACGGAATGAAATACCACCAAAAGTTACAAACAGTGTCGATGAATCTTGTTGGCACCCAAAACTTCTGCACTGACACCTTCTAGTAAACCGAATAACATAATCGGGATACTTAGGTTAACAAGACTTCAGCTAATGGTATTTGCAATGTTTTACGACCAAACTGCATTTATTTTCCGCCCAGCTTTCAAGAACTTACCTCCCATGCAACTTTTACATGCGCCCTTTCAAGTGTTTCCCCAGGGTCATCTTTCGTCGAAGAGTTTTCACTGGTTCTGGTTCTTAATTAATCCACACGCAATTCCTACTTTTACTGTGCCAGTAAATGTTGGTTGTGTACAACTTGTTACCATGGTCCGTTTATACACACAACTTCCGTTTTACGGTCTAATTTCTGTGTGATTCCTAGTGCGGTCGTTTTATCTGAATACTAAGTAGCGATCCTCAAGTGTAAAGTACCCATCGCAATCTTCATCAGTTTATGGGGGCTACGTTAGTTTCGGTTATGCTTACCATTTCGGATATTGGCTCAGGTGGTTTTGTTTATATACACACTGGTTCTCGCCACAAAAGAAGATACGCTTCTTAATTGACATCTTGTTTAGTAGACCCACTATTCGCTTTCCTGAATCGTTTTGTTGACTTCCGCTTAAGTGATCTCCTGGTTTAGCTCTTCCTCTGATAGTACAATTATTTCGTAGTAATTATGTGATTGATCGCCAGGGTAGTGTTCTAAAAGATAGTTTTGGGCTGTACCGGTGTCGTTTAGTTTGTTTAATTTAGAAGACCCGAGTTTCTAATGTTTCTATATGTAAAATGTGAGGGCTAATGTGTCCTTAATCGTCCCTACCACGATGTCATAAGCGTTTTTAATGAACTTGGTCCCTGATGCGAATAATTTTGCCATGTACATTATAGTCACAACAACGGAACAATCTACTCAAATTTGTCTAACTTTGGTAAAGGTGGAAATCTGTTCGAAGCTCAAGGCGGAAACACAGAAAATTCTCTTCACTTAAAACCGATTCTAACAAAGATTAAGCTATTTCATTCCTCTTCGAGCAACGCTCGAACTTTTTCCACTGGTCTTTTGAGAATTTGTTCGGGTTTTTTTTTACAAGGACTAAGGCACAATGGCATGCTCTCCGAACATCGGACCATTTTCGTTGTTGTCGCCGCTACCGCACCCACCCGAATCAGGAAGCATGAAAAGCAATATGATTTGTTTGACCATAGCCAAGAAAAAAGATCCCGGAAATACACAATCCACAGGAATAGCAAGGTAATGATTTGCTAGGAAATCAACAACGATCCCTGTTTCAGAGGCAAAAATTTCGTAGCACCATCGAAAATCGTTCAGCTGTCGCACCGTTACGATGCCTGATCGTCATGCCATCAGAAGGAATTGTGAAGGCTGGAATACTGTGAGGCTCTCCAAGCATAGACAGGGGAAGTCGAGAGACAGAGGTCAGATTGGAACCACGAAACTTCCGGTCAGTAGTTGCGCGCCGTAACCACTGAGCCATCTCGTAGCACTATACCTACCAGTGTTTCTAAAGATTTCGCCACAAGGATTTACATTCATCGTTTCATCACAAATATGCTTTGCCACCCGATAGAAATAAGTGGAGAAAATAAAAACTGTGGTTAGACCATATGTCTACGGCTCCACGTAAACAGAAATTTCTTTGAGGTGCCAAAAGATTTAGCTGTCCGGAGGCTTTTTTTGTTTGTGGTGATTGTGTTCAGCTTGGACAGTACGACGCTGTAACTAATTTTCGTCTTGAAGACGTGCCCAACTTCCACAGACATTTTATTGTGCTGCATGCCACTCAGAAGTTTTGGATTGCCCGCATGTCGTAATTCACAGAATCATTATGTGTATTTAGCAAAAACTCAAGAAAGGGATTGCTTCTACAAGCAGTTACTTTAGGGAACCTGTAACTCAATCGTTCTGGGAAGAAATCATGCTGAAACATCGATAAGTTCAACCCCATCATTCTTCGTCATTCTAATCAGGTTAAAATAGCGCTCGCAATTTTCCGCATCGAATGAATTTACCATTAGTTGAAAGATTTTCATTCAACCGTACGATTCGTTTGCCTTACTTTATCCATTGAAAAGTCTAGATAATAGAAGTGTCAGAATTATCGTCTTGAGCAAAAAAAGCAAACTATTTGGTGGTGATGTAGGAGAATTCGACATTAATTTGCCATGTGTATTTTGTTCCCGGAAGTTCGGTCGAGATTAATTGGCATTTTACCGTTGACGATAGCTTCAATACTTCAAAATTACAAACGGGCCTGTTTCCTCCTCCTACTAACCCCTAATTGTACCAAATATTTTTAGGGTATTTATTTCTTTATTTGTTCGGATGCTGCGTTACACAATTAACGTCTCTATTAAGTTCAGTCTTTAGGGTTGGTCTGGTTGTTTGAAAAGACTGCAGAATTGTGAGCAGTGAATAGAATCATGCAAAAATGTCTTTGTTGCCCTCACAGACACAGACTTAACGGTATAATTTATGACTGCAAGCACGCTACAGAACCGCAAACCTGTCAGATAGAATTTATTAAGTAGAATACAACTGTTCTGGAATCCATATTGCTATATTCGAAGTTTCTTCAATTTTGTTTTTGTACCAACTGTTTTCCTGTCCAACACTAATTTCGAATGTTGAAAGCACAATATTCGACCCACAAAAGCAAGAATATACTTTTATACTTTGTTTTAAGCTGCGCCAACGAACGTGGACGAGTCAGATTTGCGAAATCAGTGACAGATTAAACCAAAGAAGAGAAAGTTACTGCAGCTAAAACGGCATGCATTGCACCACTTCAAGTAGTTTATCCAGTTTTTTCGTCAAAATAAAAGAGGTAAAAGTTTTGACTGCTAATCAACGCAGCCGATGTGTCAGTTTTCAGTTATGATTATTATCATTAGTTTCCAGGGAAACACATTTCCCTGAAGTAACTATCAAACGTCTTACAAAGTGTCAACTGTACTCCGGTGCCTCCACTAACCACTACCACATCTATTTTATTTCCTAGAACATTTTCTTCTGCGTCATCACAACTTGTAGAGGTATCGTGTACTTTTAATCGACTGAAAATTATGGGTGGTACGAAAGTGGCTACCACTAGTTGCTCCAGACTAGGTTTCCGGAACATTTTGGGAAGTATAAATTCAACCACCGAAATTAGATTATACTACGAGTATATTTGGTAAAAACCGTGGTAAAAACTCTCCTGGCCGGAATTCATCTCTTCAGTAGGAGGGGTTAAAGAACAAAGAAAAAACATGGGTGGTTTTCTTTTAAAACATTCGCAACGTAAAATTGGCAGACTTCACTTATTTCTGTTGGGATTACAGTGTTTTCGTCTTCTTTTAACAAATGTCAAAAAATAATATCGTGGATTAGGCAAATTTAGTCCTGGTTGGATGATTTTCATTCGTTTGTACTCAGCTTTTATTTACACAACTCTGATCGATGAGAAATGAGCAACCAAAAACAGTGTAAATTTTGTTCCACAACGAGAACTTGAAACGTGTAACAGGAGGTTTAAGACGGACTGATGGACAGGTTTTACAGGTGTTTGTGCTTGTGGTATACATATAAACATTCCAGTGTATTGAATTCTGTGCATACCAGGTTGTGCGTTTATTACGTATACAACTGTCTCCAAGTCATCCGGTAAGTGGATTTCGATGCCAGTTACCGGTGGAAAATATTCGATGCAGTTAATTGTACAAAAACAAGTTCGCTGTGTATTTTTAGTTGACAGTGATTAATTATCTGCAGAAGACAGGGCTACGTTGGGATCAACTTCTGTGACACATGACAAGGGTGAGTAAACATGGACAAACGGCAGGGCAAACGAAGCATGAACCTGCGGGAATGTGGGGAGACCTGGCGGTAACCAGATTGCTTTTGACACGGGGTGCCCGGATGCGGTACTTGTGTCCAGGCTATCTTCGTTACCGCTGTCTCGATCGAGGGATCCCAAACTGTTGCGCTTGCTCTGATTGATGAGAAGCATGAAAAACAAAAACGAAACAAAATGTAATTAGTCCATTTATACAGTTTTTTCTAGAGGCATGATAAAAAGCGATAGAACGGTGACCCCGAAACAAACCTCTAATCTGGACAATCAGTATGGCATTTTGAAGCTACTGTAGTGAATTACAAGACATTATGTTGTTCTTGTAAAAGTGGTTCCTCTAATTTACAAAGCGTTAGGTTAAAAACTGAAATAGGAAAATAGACAGTGGGGGATTGAAAGTAGGCTTTATTCAAGTTGATCCCTTAATTCGACGGATCTCATTTAGTTTGAAGATATGATTATTTTGTTAGTAATTCCCTGTTTTACAGGATTAGAGTGTTGTCTGGAAACGTTAGATTACAGCTAAACACTGACAATATTTCATTCTTTCAAGATATCTATTATTCGCCTTACAGATTTAGACTTAATCTCACTCCCTGGGAGCGACGTGGTCGGATTGGTGGGCACTAATCACAAATGACACCTAATTTCTGTGTACTCACATGTTTCGGATGGAGACACATATGCTGAACTTCCGTAGGATGTCCACGGGCTGAGGTAGGAAGCGGTCCGTATATGTACTTCACCCCAGTGTTGTTCGTCTGTAGCGGCTCAACTTTGCCTGCTTGGTTAACTTGCTCATCTGCTGTATATAATATAATAGGTTCGATTGGGGGAGAGATCGATCTGGCTAAAACAAATGGAGCCGTCACCATGTGAGGAACGCTATCACTGCCGGAGCACACCATTTGCACTTGCTGAAGTTGTTCCATGGCTTGGTTTGTTGTACAGGGCTGGACATTCAGAAGGTGCAGTGCAGTTGGGTTGTAGGGTAAAGTTCTCCCAGTGTGCAATGAGTTCAGCAAAGAAAATGTGCCTTTATTGTTTGTCGTCTCCGAGGACAGCTCTCTCACCACCCGGGAGTTGGATCTTGACATTGGTTTGAGTGTCTTAACCGGGCTATCAATGCCTGAAAAGGAAAACAAAACAGTAGTAAATTTTATCCTTTTCCCTTTGAACACTGAGGGTGGCTTGGTAAGTCTTAGAAGTTTTCCGTTGGTTAGTACTTTTTGCTTGTTATTTTAGTTTGAAATTGATCTTCAGTTTCTTGTGCTGATTGTAAGGTGTGTGGTAAGCAAGCGCTTCCGGTTTCTAAGGTTTTCGTTTTCGGAAAAGTTTGAGAACAATCGGTAGATTTGTTGCTGAGTGACGTCTTACTTTTGACGCAAAAATTTCATCAGTTCAAGTGACTAGGTTACGAGGTTAGTCAAGATTTAAGGCGGAAGGGGAACTAATCATTTTTGTCAAGCTAACTCTGTGTTAGGTGTCGGCCAGGGGCCACGTCTTCCGAATCGATTCACGTGAAGGTCCCTCTCAAAATTCGTTTGCTCTTTTCGTACGTCTGTGTGGACAAGCTAGTGTTATGACAATTCTTTAGAGGAGAGGGATTCTGTTAACATGATCGGGTTGTGATGTCTACCTCCCTTTTGCTAACGGTTCTATGTGCATTGACAGTCACACATTCATGTGTTAACTCGGCTTAGCTAAGACAAGTTTCCGCACACTGGCTAGTTCCACACACTCGCTTCTATTCACACCGTGGTGAATGGTAAGTTGCGCGGCCTCAACCTGACTAGAAAACAAGTGGTCTTTTGAATACCTGTTTCACCTAAACTACTCCCTTTTATGGAGGTGAACCAAAAATTCATTTTGTTAGATGTTTTGCAACAAACCTGTTGAACGTATCAAGATGAGGAAATTTCACATGTTCTTCAGGGTCCATTTTCCCTCAATTTTTAGTCATTATGAGACCACCATGCATCTCAGTCAAAAGGCAGCCTTTAATCAGATTTCGGGCTGTCCGTCCAATCAGGTTTCTTTCTGTGCCAATCGGAAACTTTCTTAGGCTGAGTGGATTTACTTCGCGTGGCACTTTTGTGGCCTTCTCCCATACAACTAAGTTTAAAATCCACTGCTATAAATAAAAATACATCGTTGAACCGTTTTTTATTTGTTGGCTATAGTGTGGAATGTTGTTGGCATGCTCCGAACAACGGTATTAATGTTTTAGCAGATAACCGCACTGTCTATCTAAAACAGAGAACGCTGCTCCTGCGGGGTTGCAGATAGCAATAGTAAGTAGCAATAGTAAGAAGCTGTGTGGTAAAATGGGTTGGCCGGAAACAGTTAATTCGATAGTTTGACCAATGTGTTTTAAATCGCGGTCGATCTGTGGGCATTCGAAAAGCACAAAGGAATGAAGCGCTGTGAAAGTACGATATCACAGCCAACATAAACACCCCAAAAACGGGTAACAGCCAATTAATGTCTCAAGTTACTTATGAATAACGTTATAACCTCTTTGCCTTTCCCATACTGTTGACTTGTATATTAGTAGCAACATGTGGCCAGGTGGTTTCGATTGTTTGGTCAGTTAATGCAGCACAGAAACAGTGTGACTAAACTGAGGCTCTAACCACTTCACTTAACTTCACCTTTTGGGGCTTAGCAGTGCTAAGTCAGTCTTCTTGAGCGATAATGGTTTCAGCGTCCGCAACAATATGTGTTTCTAATCCACTGTAATGAAACACTAAAAATATGGTAGAAGGTCTCTTTACGGATGTCAAAATACCGGTCTTTTGGAGTGTAAAGAGAAACGATTTACAGGCAGGGGTCACCAGCGCTTTCGAAGGAAGGCTATACAGACACCACTAAATGAATTGCGCAAAGGTGAATAGTAATGGCTGTCTGATCAAACGTAAATCTGCCCAGTGGCTTCGGACAATACCAAATCCGTGGAACACGTCAAGTTTGTTTCTGGAAGACCAGAGGCAGTTAACTTGATGTCCTGGGGAGAACTTTCAAAAGACGTAATTTGACCTTGGGTTTTTGAGTGAATTAATCAATCAAACATCGGTGACAAACAAGCACAGCCTGTATGTAGGAAAACCTTGATGTCCAGTTTGAGTCAAAGAAAAACCAGGTGGGAACTACCAAGCGGCGATTTTTGAAGGATAACTTGAAAGTGTTCACAACTGTGTGTAGACTGAGAATTCCAAAGTAAATGAAGAATAGTGACTCCTCTTAATCTGAAAAATCATATTACTGGGTAGTTCAAGGATAACATCGTACGAGTGGTTTTAGCAGGTGTATAGAAACATAAAATTAATTTATCCAAGTTGTGTCCTTATTCTTAGAGTCGAAATTGATAACTTTTGCCCGATTTCAAATCGGTTGGATAGATTAATTCCAGAGAAACGCACAGTCCGATTGGTCTGAAGTCACCGCCGGGTCAACGCAATTCCTCTGTGGATTTTGGGAGAGATGTTTTGGTCAAAGCAATCAGATGGAATGCTTGAAATAATCTCAATCTCCGGTTTGAATGTCGTTTTCTTCACATGACTGGGATCATGAAAAATGAAGAAGGATCTGTCATTCATGACTTGATACTTTTGTCTTGAGAGGTCTTGGAAATGAGTGGATGTGACAAGCCTGATACACGACCCGCTCTTGTTGCGGGAACATTTTAACAACACAGGGTTAATTTCGTTTCAAGAACAATGTTTACATTTTTAGATCTGGTGCTTGGTTACTTCTACTAACATTTTTCGAATTATTATCAGCCAGAGATGCCTTTCTAATCCATGTTTTTCTACATTTTGTGATAATTCTAAGATACATTTTATTTGCGTTGAACTGTCCGGAGCGCATTCAATCTAAGGATGATGTCAGCAGGCATCAGAGTGACCCATTTTTAACATAGATTTATGAAAAACTGGAATATTCCAGGTTCAGAAAAACAGATAATTAGGTCAGTATTGGGAGGCTGACAATTTCATGTGTTTTAAGCCTACTTACCTTGTTTGTGGGTGACCCAGAGCTGGGCACTTCGCATGGGGATTTCAACACTGCCGTTGCTCTCCAAAGCAGGTATGCTTTGTGCATTTCCGGTCCGCCTTTTTCGGAGTACAAAGCACATCACACTCATTAGAAGAATGGAGATAAAACCCGACACGAAAAGAATGGATAGGATTATATAAAAGTTAAGGTAAGATCCGCCATTTGGAGCGAACGATTGTTCGGGTCTGTTCCCTAAGAGATTGTAAAGCTGGTTGTTTATGTTGCCAATTGGGGCGGAATCATCAATTCGAATGAGTAAGATGATGGTGGAGCGCAGAGATATCGGAGTTCCCATATCACGAGCAACCAACTCCACAGAAAATAGTTTTCCAATGTCTGCTTCTGTTAGTTCGTTTACCAGAAATATAACACCGGTAGTTTCGTGTATGTTGAACAGACTGGAATAACGCTCAACATGGTCTGTGTTGGCCGGATTGTCAAGAACTTGCAAATCTGAGGTAGAATTGTCTCTTTTTTGTGGGTTCAAAGTTTGGTTGTGTAAATAAATAGACTGAAGGAAGTAACGAACCGTCCCGTTGAGTCCTGCATCAGCATCTATGGCCGAAACCTTTAAGGGAAAGACAAGACACCGTTAAAGCAACAGTAGACCCATAGATACAAAACGGTGTTTGCAAAAATTTTGCATGTACGAGTATCCACACCATGCTTAAATGATCTGCTGGGGTTAAAGTGCTGCTCAATGCTAAGATGGAGTGGCTTTATAATTTCCACTTAGTGGACGATAAAGCAAATGGCAGAACGATCACATACCTCTGCCAATCATCCCGCTAGACATCTATTATCAAACATTAGCTTCACCGTAGCATGATAGGCGGATAAGTAAGGAGACCTGAGTTTACGTTTGTACAGTGCAAATTTTCCTATAGTCGGGATTAGTGTGTCGAAGTATGAGCGTGGTTAATACCCGTATTGAGGTGGTATCTTATGTTGGCGCTCACTTGGTCATCTTCGAATCAAAGGAACAAGTATGGGCTTTTTTTGTCGACTGAATTAATCAGTCTGTCGAGTTCCGCATTTATTTTGAAACTTGATGTAATGCTCCGTGTGAACATCCGTTAGTATGGTTTCCCTTTAAATCGCCTTCGCCGATCAACATATCGCGGCGCATATCTTCTGTCAGTTCCAGTGAGGTGGGTAAAGGGGACAAAAGCTTTGGTGAAAGAGAATTCTAATGCACTCTGAGCTACCTCAGCATCTTGCGCTAACTGGAGGTATCGTACAAACAGGGCCATACAGGTTTCAAAAGGGAATGAAATTTCAGCACTGAGCAGAAACTGGAGGGTTTGGCGCAACGAATAGATACGGAAACCAGTTATTCTAAAGGACAGAAACTACGTCTTCTTCGAAAGTAGTAGGATTAAGCTTAGATGGCATAATGACATCTGCATGTTACATTTTGAACTTTGTAACCATCGAATCCACATAGAAGCTAAAATCAAGGATGGAGAAACCAGGACCAAAGAAAAACTCAGTGGCCATCAGTGTCTGGATAGTTTGTTGATTACTACGAACAGACTGTTCTTCCTATTAGAGTATTATCTGTGTGAATTTAATCCAATTATGAATCAGAATATAATAACCATTCTTAGACAACTTACTCTCTATCTGTTACTCTACCAACTTATATCCAGAACAACTATATGTGAAAACTGAACATCTGGCGGACTTTCGACTCTTCCGTTATCCACAGCTGAACTGGTGACCCCCCACACACGAACAATAGCCTTGACAGTTTGAAACACACTGCGACACATCAAATAAACGACAACGTTCCTGCTAATTAGTTTTGGAGTATTTTGACCAACACTTAACAGTTGTCATTGCTTTGTAAACTTGCGCTTCGTATGCTTCGTGAAATATCGATTGGGCGCATTTATTTGGTCGATTCTACCTATTGGTGTTCCAGATATATGGGAATATCCTGCACGTGTCCTCCGAGGACTGAGAAACGGGTTAATCACACGATTGTTTTTTAGGTTCAAATGAAAGTACATAGAACGAATCAATAAATTCTACCACCCGATGATTAATATTACTGCCTTTTTTATACAGACTCACCGAGTCTGTGACTGGTATCACCTGTTCACTTGAAGACTGACAAATAAAAGCTAACATGTGGTCTCAAGTTGGCGAGTTTTGCTTTCAAAGTAACGTTGAAGGATCGAATAGTTTTACCACATTTATTGAACTGCAGTAATATTGGTTGCAGTAACTGTTGTTTTGTTTCTTGCTCCACCCAGCTAAACATGGATCCGTTATGTTTGAGGTGCCTGGTTTACAAGTATTAATTCCTGGTTTCTACAAGAAATTGATTAGATCGAGAATTCTATAAGGTAACCCAAAAACTCTCAGTCTTTGGAGAAACTCGCTTCTACTAAATCTTAGAAAACAGCATCTCTTTCATTCCGTTGCATGTCCCGGATGACAATTTGTTCGGATGAATCTATCACTTCCGGTATATCCATTGCTTGCCTGGAGGCGTCCAAATTTTCGGCTAACATTCTTTTTTTCGTCTGTGTCTAGATGGCGCCAAATGGCACAGTTTGTCTAACTGTTGACAGGATAGAACCGTGTGGGAGGGTTTTGATCTAAGCGAAGTTTATCAAGGGTTTGATGGAACATCGTTTCGAAAGTTCGGTTTTAAGCTCAACTGATGATTGGTCGATAGAAAAAATGATTAAACAAAACGTATTCTCAATTATGTCTAGGCTCATGAGTTGCAAAATTATGACAAGCCTGGATTGTATTTACAATATAGGGCTTTCAGCATGTCTACACGTGAGTGGTGGCCACCACCCGCAACTACGAATATTTATTCACCGTTTGAAGACAAGTATTGGTTTAAATTTAAATAGGGTCACTTATTAGCCTGAGTAAGTTTGTTAGCTTTAGGACAATTATACGACAGCACAAGATGTCGTTTATAAATCCCACCCACAAATATTATGCACATGTATATACCATGTAGTTCTGTCTGCACTATATCCCGAGTGAGAACCTCTATTTCTCGCTCCGAGTAGAAAATTACCACGATGTTGATTTTTGCCCCTTGTGGTATGGTTTTTGGGAGGCGGCACACACGCTACAGAAGGAAACTAATGTAAGAATGAATACCACCAAGGTGGAACAGTTCGGAAGCAGTGATGGACACATTCGGATTTTCGGACACTACATGGAGTTAGAATTTGTTGCTTTACGCTACTCTGGTCATGGGAATTTTCATACGGACAAGACATTTGAAAGGTGTCGTTACTTTCTTTCTGGATAAACAGGGCAGAACCAACAAGTGGCTGACTGCGAACAACGTTACAACTACTAGACTGATAATGGGAAGTAAAATACTTCGTACAAACGTGCCTGAATGAGGTAGGCCAACGATCAGCTTTTTTTGGACAGCAGCAATCAAAACTGCATTTGACATGCATCATATGGTGCACTTTGGTAAATGCCACTGTGTCAAGAAACACAGAGTGCAATGTTTATATTGATCGTTACCCTTCGTGGGCAAGCACATCTGGATGCTCTTGTGGTGAAATTGTCGAGCAGCTATGTGATCTCACAAAATGCTTTACTCAATCGTTATCGGGTTTAGGCACTTCTCCTTTGTTTTGAATAAAACACCAAGCGTACCTTTTGATTATAAATCCAATCTGATGATTAAAACAAAACCAAATCACTTTTCGCTCAAGCCGAAATTCTGTTATTCAATCATGTCAATACTTCAGACCAAACTAAGCTGGTTCAAACTACCACCAATCCCAAGGGAGGCGGGTGCTGAATTAATGGCGTGCATAAATACTCCACAAACAGTAGTAGCCAATTTCTGGCAACCGGGAAGACTGAGACCAGGATTTTCACCACGTAAATCGATTTTCAGTCCGGACAGTGATGAGAATGTTTTTGAGAAAATGTCTTGGGCAAAAACTCTGACTATCTGGCTTTGCGTCTCTGTTGAAGAATACAGCTTACCACCAGTGACTTGGCTTATACGATCAAAAGATTAAACGCCCATGTTCAGTGTATGGTCGGACGCCAAATGAAACTTGAATTTCAAGGGCGACAAGCTACACACCTCAGATTACTTGTAAGGAGCACAAAGGGTGGTCTCCACTGAAAATGTCTAGATAACTCTCATGCAGGACAAAGCCTGTTATGCTATCTTTGAGGACCTGATTGTTCTATCAAGGGACAAGAACCTCGCAGTTTATGACACTTGCTGATAGTCTGGTCGACCAATCCGTAATGGATACTCTTATGCAGCGTGAGCAAACTATTTGAGTTGCTAAATTTTCGGAATTATTCACCTCAGAGTTTTCTCACATATTTTGGGGATATAATTTAAAACACGCTAGATTCGCATATCGGATGGCTTGCATCAAATACCTAGGATGGCCAGTGCTGCACATTACTGACGAGCTCCGATGTAAGTGGAAGAGGAAGCACGCTTCTTTGCTCTGGAATAAATTGGCCAAAATAAAAGAACCAGGAGAGGAGGAGTATTGCCCAGACGAAAGCGAGAGTGTTCACACTTCTGCCAATCGCGCGATCACTCACAAGTGGGGGCTTCCTGCAACGACTGTTGGAGATTCCGTTTGAGCCAATAACGCACACATGTCCGTTGTTCGAAATCAACACTTGTTCATCGATTACTCTTGTCTAGGTTTGAGCGGGCTCATGCTTATTTCGGATGGCTTGGCAAGTAGGCACCGAAATAGCATAACAGATTAATGAGTTTCATTCAGATTCTGTTGGATTTCATATACTCGGCCTTTTGCCAAAGATATGGGTTAGTAAACTGAGTACCTATAATCACATCTTGAGTTGCCTGCGTATTGCCCCGCATTGGCTGGTCTGGTCAGACATTTACTGAGGAGGTTTCATTCGATTTTTAGGAAAGAACAGTAGATAGATGAATATTCGACTTTGAAATACGGTCTTTCATCCCCATTGCAGAACTTCTGATCCAAAGACAAGACAGTATGGACAAAGGTTTCCATGTGTGAGACGGCCTTCCTTGGAGAAACCTATTAACGGTGGCAGCATTAATTACAAGCAGCGAATCACTTGCTCAATTTTACCGGGCTGATGGCCCTCAATATACTATCGAGAGATTCTATTCCTCTTGTAGCATGTAATAAGTGAACTTTCTAATCACTTTATTTGGAAAATTGGAGCAGTGTTGGGACGACATTTTATGAGGATACGATCGCTATTTTCAGGCGGAGAGGTAGATGAATTTTCCAGACAGCTCACCCAAAACCGTAGGATTGAGTGAGTGACTGCTTTGACGTGAGGAAATGATCAACTTGATTTTTCTCGTGTCAGCCTCGTCAGATTAGTGTTAAGTCAAGAGGGATTCAGGATCAGACCTTGTGCGAATCGGGTTAAATTCTACTTTAACCGTTGTCAAGGAAAGCTGTGTGTGGCTCCCGGTGGACAAGTTAACCATGTTAACTTAGTGCTCACTGGTCTTCAGGGAAGAACTGGCAATAACGGAGTCTGTGTAGAAGATTCATGTAAGTGATAGTGCAATGTTCATCCCTTGAA